CTCTAGAAGAACAGTCAGTGCTCTTAACCTCTGAGTCCTCTCTCCAGCCCCCACGTTTTTTTCTTTTGAGACAGTCTCATTATATAGCCCTGGCTGACTGGGAACTCAATATATAATTCAGGCTGGCGTTAAACTCCTAGAGATCTGCCTGCCTCTGCCTCCAGAGTGCTGAGGCTAAAGGTTTATTTTACCATACCTTCCCTGAGAAGCGCAGCTCAGCTGCCTGGAGCCTCGAGTCCCTCTCTCACTGCAGAGGCCCAAGTGTTGGACTGGAAAGGTCTCCCCACCTATCAAGTCTAAGCCTGGGAGCCTCAGAGCTGGAGTATAGGTCAGTCTTGTAATCTCAAGGGTTGGGATAGGAGTTGCGGGCATGAATTCCCCACTTCCCCAGGGGAAATCTGCCCATCTTCTGGAGACAGGACCCCACTCCCCCTGCCTGCCTGAGACTCAGAGAACTAACAGCAAGGGACTCCATCTCTTCATTGTCTTATACAGCCTGTACATGTTCCCTCTTGCCAGGGAGTTGTGAAGGGTCCCTGTTTTGCAGACAGAAGTGGGTGAACCAGGCCAGAGCACCTGTGTGGTAAAGTCAAGCCAAAAGTTCTCCCCCAGCTCTTGTTCTGGGTCCCCGAGTCACTGCGTCTCTGCCACCACCAACGTGTCACCCTTGGAGTTTTACCTGCAGCACTCTAAGGGCCCTTCCTCCCCTCGGGTGTGTCCCCAGTGCACAAAATCATCCAATGCTGGCCTGCTGAAGTCAGCGCCCCGGCCAGTGCCTCCGCGTGCAGGCAGGGAAACGAAGGCAGAGTCTTGGCGTGGAGGCTGAGAGCCTGGGTCTTGTCATCTCAAGCATATGGATGCAACCAGCAGGTCGCTTTCATAGTTGATCTGAAGCTAAATGGGGGTGAAAGAGACAGAGAAGGTGGGGCATCCTGAAGGGCAGGCAGGCAGGGTGGTGAGGGAGAGGGAGGGAGGGACCGGTGACTTGAGAACCAAAGGCCTTGACCCTGGAGGAACCAGGCTGAGCACAGTATCACAACAGATGAAAGAGGCGAGAAGCCAGGGGCCAAGGTGATCTGGGGGCCAAGAGGTGCCGTACCTAAGTGGGAGTCCTACCTTGCCACTTCTGCCATGAGCAAGCCCCAGGCTCATCTCCCCAGATGGGGATCAGCAGCCAGAACCCCCTCGCGTTTCGGCAGCTGCTTAATAAATAGACGTTCGCTGAACAAAGACACAGCGGTACCTCGGTGAGACAGGCAGGCCACGCCTGGTGTGGAGTCTGCACTTCCAGGACATTCTGTCCCTCAAACGCTTCAGAGACAGGTCCCTGGACAGGTGTGAGACCTCCGGTGAGTCACGGTACCCCCCGGTCTCACCAACAGTGACCTAGAAGATTCATGAAAGGATAAAACGCCTTGGCAACCTGGCCGTTCCCAAGCGTGGCTTCCACTGCCCTCTGTCCATCTGCCAAAGGGAGGTTCCCCGGGAGGTAACTTCACAGCATCTGGTCAGTCTTTCTGTCATGGGGAGCCAGGATGTGTGTGTGGGTGAGCGACTGGAATGGTTGTCCCCCCTACTCTGTGGGGTTCCTTTGCCACCAGACAAACCACAGGATGCAGTCTGACTAAGGCAGGACCCCATCTCCCTGCTCAGTTTGCTGGACTGGCAGCCTGCTCTTGGAGGTTGCGGGAAACCCTGGCCGCCTCACCTTCCCCTGCTTCTACTGTCTTCTTCAAGTTTCATCACCTCCAAAAGCCCAAGACAAGATGGAGATTGAGTGGTCCCAGGCTTGGGGAATGATACAAGGCTGGGAAAGAGAAAAGCTTGTCTGGGGACCTTCCTCAGGGTATTGCAGAAGGGTCCGGCCTCCTTTTCTCACCCAGCCCAGCATCCTTTAGTCCATTTGACGGTCAGGATGGAGACTGGTCCCCGACCTTCCAGGAGAGTACGGGCTGGGGTCATGCATCTGCCTGGACAAGCAGGGCTCTTCTTTGTTCAAAGTAAATTCTACTCAGAGGAGGAAGATGGTGATCCGTGCTTTGTGTACCCTCCTGTAGTCTGTGTCCCCCTCTCTTTTGAGCATTCCCTCCAGCTTCTGTGTCTTTCCCCCAGAAGCCCCATGCCATGCAGTTAGCGCATGCACAAATGCCCAGCTGGCACTTTGCACTGGAGAGTCAGGTGAGCATCATGCCCCTGTTGATGTAATGGCCACAGCAGATGCTTATGGGAACAGGAGGCTAGACTGAGTGCCCACAACTACTCCTCACTGTACCTGCAGGGACCGATCTGGGGAGCCAGTTTTCCTGAGCACTGGGATGGGCAAGCTTTAAAAGTTCATCGTGATGCAGGCACAGGAAGGCCTCCAAAACCTGCTGGGGCCTTGAAAAGAGGCACAGGGGCCTGGAGAACTATAATGCAAGTGACGGGAGACTGGGAAGCGTGTTGACCGGGGAGCTGAGTACCTAATATGGACAGGGGAAAAGACTCACGGCTGATACTGGCAGAGGCACCCTCATCTTCACCCACTAATCAGAGGGAACACTCCAATAGCCTAGAGCCACAGAGGAACACCGCAGGCTCCCTTGTGAGGGTGGACCCCACAATGAGCCCTGTCTTCAGCACAAGTGAGCTGGTCCTACCAACAGAGTCAGGGGTCTTGTCCTTTGCACCTTGGGAGGCAGCCTTTGGCAGGACCCCCGCCCTTGGACATCCATCAAAGACACAGGTGTCACTTCTTGTCCTCTGCCTCTCTTGTGGAGGTGCAGGCTGTGCTTCAGAGCCCGACATAGTGAGGTTAGCACCTACATTTTCCAGTCCTCCAGACCCCTCCAGACAGAAGGGACAAAGAGCCGAAGGCCTGTCTTTCCAAATATCAGTGTGGGGAGCAACCTTGTCAGGGCAGTCCTCTGCCCTGCCTCCTTTGGAAACCCTCAATGGCTCCTTTCCGTGTCTGCGGCTCCATGGCCTTACCTATAAAACAGGGGTCTTGAGTGAGTATGGCTACCTTATGTCCCTCAGCTGTGTCTTTGGTGCAGATGAAGGAGTTGAAGGCCATGGGGGAACACAGCAAGGGAACCCCAGCTATTGAATGCTTTGAAGGCTAGGACCAGTGCTGAATTTTGGCCCATACCCAAGAAGCTAAGGTTCCAGGTCAGGTAACTCAGGGCCAGTCAAATCACATGGCAAATTACTTTGACTGAGGGAGCCCTTTAGGGTGGGGTGGGTGAGAGAAGCAGGGTCGGGCAGGGTGGCCTGGGGGAGGGAGAGGGAGACTCTGGAGAAAGAGGCAGGGGAAAGGGCTGTTGATATCTAAATTATAGCATTGGTGCGCACCGGTTGCTGCGGCAACCAAGTTGTCCTGAACCAGGGAAGTGTGTAAACATTGCCACAGATGCACAATTAGACCAGGAAGAATAGAACAGAAAATAGAAGCTTCCAGACTTATATAATTCTAGGCCAAGATGTTATCAGGAACCCAGGCTGGGTCCTGGCCCTGTGGGCCTCCGGGGCCTGAGACTGCACCAGCAGCTCCTGTACTCAGACCTCAATGGCGGGGAGCACAGAAGACAGTGTGCCCTCTGTGTGAGTCCAGCTGGTGGACACGCCACGTGGGGGTGACAAGCCTCTGCTGGGACAGCTGGCAACCACAGTCAGGCACACCACCTGCCTCTCACAGGTGCCAGCAAGTGGGGAGCAGCAGGGTGGGGGCTTTGTCTTCCAGGGTCTTGTAAGGTAAGATGCAGATGAGGAAACTGAGGCTCGGAGAATGAAACTGAGTGATCAGGTGATCCGAGGTGGGTAGGACAGAAGAGCAGCCACTGCCTCACCTACCCCCAGTCTTCATGCAGGAGCTCCTGGAAGGTGACACCTCCCGAATCTGGATCCACTTTCTTCCCAGCAGACCACTCTTCCGCTTCCAGCCAGCTGCATGTGCCCAGACCGGGACAGAAGTGCCAGGCTGTCCCTTCCTCCATCTTGACCAGCACACCAGATAATCTGTCAGCACCTAGCCTGCTCCCAGCAAGTCTGGGGACAGGACGGGAATCCGGGGGTCAGCGGAAGCCTGTCTGGGTATACTCATCCCTGTGGTAACTTAGCCACAGGGAACTCTGAGGATTTGCAAAACCAGTGCAGATAGGGAACTGAAATGTAATGAAATAGAATAAAAAAATCATTATAGGTGGCCCGTGCAGAGGCTAAACGGGCAGGCAAATTGGGGGGGGGTCAAAGCTGGGGCATGCAGGACACCGAGTTAAGATAAGCATCTGGATGGGAGTGTGGCTTGGTGGGAGAGTTTGCTCAATATGCCCAAGGCCCTGGGTTCCAACCCTGGCACCACTAAAAATAGAAAGGGGTTGGCAAGGTGTCTTGACAGATAGACACTTGCTCTGCAAGCCTGGCAGCCTGAGTCTGATCCTCGGAACCCATGGCGGAAAGAAGAGAGCTGAGTTCTGAATGCTGTCCTCTGTCTCTGATACATGCCACGGCAAGTGTGCCACCTCCCACTAATAATGACGGTGATCACAGCGATGATAATACACTGAAATGAAGAGAGTATAGGGGTGCACCATTTTGGTTCCACATTCAGGAAGCAGAGGCAGGCAGATCTCTGAGCTTGAGGCCAGCCTGGTCTACAGAATGAGTTCCAGGTTAGCCAAGGCAACATGGTCAAGACCTGCTTCAAAACCAGAAAGGAAGGGGAAAAAAAAAAGATACAGATATAGAAACTTCCAGAACAGCAGCAAGGTGGAAGGGCCACATTGAGCAGCAGGGGCTAGGACCTGCTGGATTCTGTTCTTCGTTGGGCAGACCCCAGTCCAGGGTCAGCCTCAGGGACACAGGCTTAGGCTTAGTTTCAATAATGACCTTCTGCCATAATCCCCAAGTCTCACAGGAAGTCTTGAGGTCCTGTGAAGACGGTTCTGGGCCTGAGAGTTTGGTGGTCTCTTTACAGTAGCCCCTCACTCCCCAGCACCTCACCTGTCCCTTGTTCTCCACAGACCCTGCATCTCCCCAGGTGACCACGCCGGCCTCAGGTCATGCACGGACACAGCCGAAACGGGCAGGCCCATGTGCCCCGGCGGAAACGCCGCAACCGCTTCGTCAAGAAGAACGGCCAGTGCAACGTCTACTTTGCCAACCTGAGCAACAAGTCCCAGCGTTACATGGCGGACATCTTCACCACCTGTGTGGACACACGCTGGCGCTACATGCTCATGATCTTTTCCGCGGCCTTCCTCGTCTCCTGGCTCTTTTTTGGCCTCCTTTTCTGGTGCATTGCCTTCTTCCACGGTGACCTGGAGGCTAGCCCCTCGGTGCCTGCTGCAGGAGGCCCGGGGGGCAATGGTGGGGCAGCCCCGACGGCCCCCAAACCCTGCATCATGCATGTAAACGGCTTTTTGGGAGCCTTCCTGTTCTCAGTGGAGACACAGACGACCATCGGTTATGGGTTCCGGTGTGTGACGGAGGAATGCCCGTTGGCCGTCATTGCAGTGGTGGTCCAGTCCATCGTGGGCTGTGTCATCGACTCCTTCATGATTGGCACTATCATGGCCAAGATGGCACGGCCCAAGAAGAGGGCACAGACGCTGCTGTTCAGCCACCATGCGGTCATCTCAGTGCGTGATGGCAAGCTCTGCCTGATGTGGCGTGTGGGCAACCTGCGTAAGAGCCACATTGTGGAGGCCCATGTCCGAGCTCAGCTCATCAAGCCCTACATGACCCAAGAGGGCGAGTACCTGCCGCTCGACCAGCGGGACCTCAACGTGGGCTATGACATCGGCCTGGACCGCATCTTCTTGGTGTCACCCATCATCATCGTCCATGAGATTGATGAGGACAGTCCACTCTACGGCATGGGCAAGGAGGAACTGGAGTCGGAGGACTTCGAGATCGTGGTTATCCTGGAGGGCATGGTGGAGGCCACAGCTATGACCACGCAGGCCCGCAGTTCCTACCTGGCCAGTGAGATCCTGTGGGGCCACCGGTTCGAGCCCGTGGTCTTTGAGGAGAAGAGTCATTACAAGGTGGACTACTCACGATTCCACAAGACCTACGAGGTGGCTGGCACGCCCTGCTGCTCTGCCCGTGAGCTGCAGGAGAGCAAGATTACGGTGCTGCCCGCCCCGCCGCCCCCTCCCAGTGCCTTCTGCTATGAAAATGAGCTGGCCCTCATGAGCCAGGAGGAAGAGGAGATGGAAGAGGAAGCCGCGGCTGCAGCCGCCGTGGCTGCAGGCCTGGGCCTGGAGGCGGGTTCCAAAGAGGAGGCAGGTATCATTCGGATGCTTGAGTTTGGTAGCCATCTGGATCTGGAGCGCATGCAAGCCACCCTCCCGCTGGACAATATTTCCTACCGCAGGGAGTCTGCCATCTGACCTCCAGGGCCTGCCCTCTTCTATTCCTGCAAGACCCTCTGCCAGGGGTGGGGTGCAAGGACAAGCCTCCCACTCTCAGGATAGAGCTGAACCTGGCTCTGTGGACCTGGAGGAAGGTGGGGACTTCAAAGACTAGGAGATCCCTTCCTGTTGACTGCAGAGCCCAGGACGGGGAAGGACCCAGGTACTCAGCCCTGCTGACCTGAGCTCTGCCCTCGGCACCTCCCCACGGGTGGCTCTGGGCCCCCAGACCTTCCACCCTTTCCCCACTGACCCTTCAAGGATGTGACCCTTCTGCTCTCAGGACCTTGGGGAAGGTGGCTGGACTGCTAGGGAGGGTGGGCATCATGGGGGTTCTGGGTGGGCAGGGTGGGTCTCGGGAGGGGGAGGGGCGTGTTTCTTTTGCATGACTGTGGTCTGTGCTCTTGACTCTCTCTTTGTAAATACCTATAAACGGAAGAGATGGAGACACAAGTCCACCTCTGCCCGTTTCTCCCTGTGAGACAGAGAAGCCACCATCCCTCTCTGTGCACCCCTACCCCGCCCAGCCTCAGCTCTGCCCAGCTGGCTGGTCCCTTGAGGCCCTTGAAGCCAACTCTGTATGGTGTTGGGTTTGGGTACAGACAGAACCCCAGAGGTGGGATGAATACCCTCCCTCCTTGCGATCCCTCCAGTTTCCAGATTGATGATGGCATTTGTAACTATTTTTAATAAAGCATATGGTCGCTAGAAGTAGGCTGTAGAGAGGAGAGAGAGAGAGCGCATGTGAGTATCTTTATGTGGCCCCCTTTCAAATTTGTGTGTGTGTGTGTGCACATGTGTGTGCTCATGTGGAAGCCAAAGGACAGCCTCAGGTGTCTCTCAAGAGTCACCCACCTTTTTTAAAGATTTATTTCCATTTCACAGGCATGAATGCTTTTTTCTGCACGTGTGTCTGTGTACGTGTGTCTGTGCACTGTGTGTGTGCCTGAGGCGCATGGAGGCCAGAAAAAAACATCGGATCCTCTGGGACTGGAGTTACATATGGTTGTGAGCCACCGTGTGGTGCTGGGAATCAAACCTGGGTCCTCTGCAAAAGCAACAAGTGCCCTTAACCACTGAGCCATCTCTCCAGCCCCATCCTCCTTATTTTCTGAGATAGGGTCTCTTCACTGGTCTGGAGTTCATGGTTAGGGTAGCTAGCTGACCGGAGAGCCATAGGATCTAACTGTCTCCTTCTAGGTCCAGGTTTTCTTTCTTTTCGTTTCTTCTCTTTTCTTTTTCTCTCTTTCTTTTAGCATAGGTGCTGGGGATTGAACTCATGCTTGTACTTTAGTGACTGAGCCATCTCAGGGGTATGTACCCTCTCTGAGATACTGACCCTCAAAGGGACTTCTGCCACCTGATCGGCAATGGAAGGACCCTATTGTGGGTGAGCATCACCGAAGCTAGATCTGAATCAAATCTTTGTAACTCAGGGGAAGTAGGACGCGCCCACGGGATTTACACACATGCTTGTGTACGTACACACATTCATGTCTCTACACACTGCTTGAGGGAGCCTGCAGGACCTCTGGCAATTCCTTCCCTCTGGGCTCCATAGTTTGTATTGTGCGGAGTTGCCCTCACTCAGGCAACCATCTGGTCTTCAAGGTCTGTGGGTAGCTGCGCTCCCAGGCAGTTGCTCCTGAAGTCTCCAGGGAGCTGTACTGGGATGGCCACTCTGGAAGAGTCAAGGTAGCCTTGGCTGCATGGTCTGGTGCTGAGCTGGGGCTTCAGGCCCTTCCTCCTCGACGAACCCTTTTGGGGTGTTTTCTGGGGAGCCTCAACTTCAGCATCATTTCTGATGTATTTTGTTGTGCAATTTGGGTCATCAGGGGACCGATCTGATGCAATGGGGGACGTCAGACTCCATCTTCAGGAGCATGGCAAGAGTTGTCATGCTGGATGACCTAGCCCTTATCTGAGGGGCTGCCTTCAGCCAGTCTATTCCACAGGCTGGGTCTGTGCCCAGCACTCAGGCTATAGACAAGCAGAAAGGACCCTGTGTGGCCTCACGAACTTCTGTGCCAAATATGCCAGCTTACCTCCTGTGAAGTAAGGTGGGTTGAAGGACCTCACCTCACTAGCACTGACCACAAGTACCATCTGGGTAATTACTGCACACCTAGCTTGTTTTAACAGTTGTACAAGAGAATTTGAGGGCTCTTTCCTGGAGAGAGGCCAGCTGGGGGATCCAAGGATCCCAACGGTAGCTTGTATTAGGCAGTCAAGAACTGGGGTCTCATTTGGTAGATGAAGGCATGCAGGCCAAGAGAGCTGAAGACTGGCTTTTCCCATATGGTGGTTTTCGGAGGGCAAAGGTTGCCTCTCTCCCAGTTCTCTGAAGGCACTGATGGACAGAGACTGCCATCCTCCCGCTCCCCAGCCTGCTACCTCAAGTGCATCAGTGACCTTTAGCAGTCTCAAAGGGCTGGAGGCGAGGATGGGGAGGTGGCACTCAGCAAGGGATAAATCTCAACTGCCTATCCACCCATGCGCACCCCAGACCCAGGTAGCTTCTCAGGGATATATCCTGCTGTTCAGCCCTGCAGGCCCTGGGAGGACACAGCTGAGACTCTCTTCTCATGCTTGCCCCAGGTGACGGGGAAGTGTCAGTCCTGAACTCAGTTCCCATGTTCCAGAAGGTGGGACAAGTATCAAGCTGTCCGCTCTGGCTAGAGGCCAAGCTGACCACCACGCTGGGACAAGCATTCCAGGGCCCGCTGGAAACTACCAGAGAGCCGCTTGCTCAGACTCCTGGGGCAAGGGTCCTTTCAGACACCCCATTCCTCTCTCAGGCCACATGCAGCATGTCTTGTGGACGAGAGAGAGGCAGATTTGGCCGGAGCCCAATGCCAGGACTTCATACTGAGCTGCAGGGGAGTACCAGCGGGGGCCCTCCAGGCAGACCCAGGGTGCAAGAGAGCTCAGACTGCACGGCTCCACGCAGGCTGCAAGCTCGGCTGCCGGCTCAGCTCTGCTGACTCACCTCTCCCCCACCTGTTCCCCTTTCGCAGCCCTCCCACCCGCTTCCCAGCTCCATGTGCAGCTCCTCTGATCTCTCCTTCCTTGCGCTCCTGGTGGCTGCATCCGGGGGCGGCTGCAGCTTAGATACCTTGGTGCTCCGTCATGCAAACTGGCTGGCAGCTGCAGGACCTTTGGAGGTGCTGCCACGCCCTTCTCTGCTTGGCCCAGGAAAAATGAGCTAGACTTGTCTGGCCTTGCGCCTGCTCCTCCGTCGGGGAGAAGGACCCTGGAAGTCTTGAAGGGAGTAAGGGTGTGGGAAGGGAGGAAGGGTGTGGTCTCACAGAGGCTCCGCCTCCGCACGTCTCCCTGAAAGCCACCATTCAGGAGTAATCTTAGCTCACGATGGCTTCCTTAAGAACTTCAACAGCTTAGAAAGAACTAGAGAGGAGCCCAGATGGCGTTCAGCACTGTACTGTCACTGGCAGACCTTTCTGAGATCACACAGGCTTTTTCCTGTATGTGGCTTCTCTTATCTTTTCTGGATAACGAAATGTTCTGGGCAGTATAGTTTGCTTTGTCAGGTTGGTTTTTTTTTTTTTTTGAGACTAGGCCTCAAATTCAGTGTGTAGCCGAAGATGATCTTGAACTTCTGACTCTCCTGCCTTCACTGCTCAAGAGCTGGTATTAAAGGTGTGTACCACCATGCCCAGGCAAGTATTCCATCTTTTGAGTTTGGCAGAGGCCCGTGGATCTCTGTGAGTTCCAGGCCAACTTGGCCTATCAAGTTCCAGGACAGCCAAGGCTACATAGAAAGATGTTATTCTCAAAAAGGAAACAAAAGCCAAAGACGGTAGACTTGGCATCCACAAAAACAAGCTAGGCCATTCTAGGATTGGGAAGGGAGGAGGAACTTCAACACCAGCTTCCCTCCCAGGGAAGATTGTCACTAGGAAGATTGGTTAACAAGGGACAAGTGAAGTCAAGACTCCTGCCACCTCCATATCCCCTGCTGAGAGGAAAGTCATGGGTGTAAGAGCTGGAGGCACCTAGGCTGAGGTTTGCCCTTGTCATTTCATAGCTAGGTGGCCTTAGGCAGGTCAGTTGTCTCTGAGTGTGTGTGTGTGTGTGTGTGTGTGTGTGTGTGTAGGGCCTTCACGTATCTAGCTCACATTCTGTACGGATTAAACGAGACCCTGTATGTGACTGGGCATGGCAGGTGTGGGGTCAGACGCATTAACGATCTAAATAAATGTTGAGTGGCCTTTGGAAAAGGTTTTGATCAACTTTAACAATAAACGACACAATTAGTTCGCGAGCAAACTTGGAGTTTCCTGGCAACAATGGGGAAAAGAGAACCCTGAAGCGTTACCTAGCACTCCGCATGTCTGGGCTCTGAGGCAGGAGAGAGCGAGCCCTGGGTTCCTGAATCAGTGTGGAGCCCGGGGTCATCTCATCCTTCTCTGGCCTTCATTTCCTCATCTTCATGGTCAGCAGTTTCCTGGGGTTCTGGTGTGTTGCGCAAGCATGAGTTCTGTCCCTGACTCTTTCTGAGGATGGTGGGAAGCCTTGGGAAGAGAGTGGGTCAGGGCAGAATTGGCACTTAGTAAAGTCAGCCGAGTCTGTGCTACCTTCCCCAGGCCTGGACACCGGCCGGGCTACCCTCATCTGTCTGCCTGCTCCCTTGAAGGTCCCGTAAAATCGCCTCACAGACCTGGCAGGAGTCTCCCAGCTCACAGTGTTGCCTGGGTCCCTATGGTGAGCACAAAATGACCACCGGCCATCCTGTATTCTACCCCTGTCCTTAGCACATAGCCCAGAGTGACCATGCCCGATTCTAAAGAGGCCATTCACCCAACAAATAATTCATGAGGCCCTGCCTTAAGCAATGGAGGTGCAATCTCAGACAAGGAGCTTTGGCACTAAAGCAAAGACTCGGAACCCGGCCCCTTCAACACTGGGGTGTGGTGTTCATAAGAGCTTGGGCCAGTCTTCCTACCCTGCTGGATGAGATTGGATGTCAGGTTTCCCAGTGGCATGATGGGAGGAAAGGCAGGAGCACTGTGGGTACCCTATGTATGGGAAGGGGACAAGCTGGGACAGGGGACTGGCAGACACCTGGTCTTTCTTCAACCATAGCTGGAGCCATAAGAGAGCAGAGCTGAAGAAGGGATGATAGCGTGGGAACTGCAGGACCAGAGAGCTCTGATGTGAACGGAGGAGGTGGGGCCTTTTCTTCAGGCAACAGGAGCAATGGGCAGGCTGTCTGGGAGCAGAAATGGAAAGTAGGGTAGATGCCAGGAAGCCGGGCTCTGGCAGCTGAGTGGGCTGGAGTAGGGTGCGCCATGGGAGCCCACAGACCCTTGTCAATCTCCGCGTCTCAAGGCCCCTGAAGGAAGCTGGAGGAGAAAGCAGCAATGGGAGGGGGCGGCCTGGGGCCCGGGAACCACAGGACCTGCCAAGCCTGTGAGGAGTCCCTGGGTGAGGAGTGGAGAGGTGCAGACAGGTTAGTGACAAGGAGTGGAAGGGATGGACTGGTTCCAGTTCCCCTGACAGGTGAGAGGAGGCGGGACATGGGCAATTGAGTTTGCAGAAGTGGAAAGAGAAACGAGGCTATTTATGGCCTGGTCCCTGCAGAGAAGACATGGGTAAGGAAGCTCTCCCTTCCTTGGTGACTTTGCCACACCCTGGTGACTGAAAGAGGACTCAGGCTGAGGGGCAATGGAAGCTAGGTCTACTGGGGGCTTTGGGGAGAATGGGAGGTGGGCATTGAGTGATGAAAGTGAGTAGGGTAGGTAGATTGCAGGAGGTGAGCTATGGACTCCACCATTGCTGCCACAGCCCCGACAATGCTGTCACAGCCCCGACAATGCTATCACAGCCTCAGCAATGCTGCCCCGGCAATGCTGCCACAGCCCCGACAATGCTATCACAGCCCCACCAATGCTGTCACAGCCCCACCAATGCTGCCACAGCCTCAGCAATGCTGCCACAGCCCCGGCAATGCTGCCACAGCCCCACCAATGCTGCCACAGCCCCGGCAATGCTGCCACAGCCCCGGCAATGCTGCCACAGCCCCGGCAATGCTGCCACAGCCCCGGCAATGCTGCCACAGCCCCGGCAATGCTGTCACAGCCCCACCAATGCTGTCACAGCCCCACCAATGCTGCCACAGCCCCACCAATGCTGCCACAGCCCCGGCAATGCTGCCATAGCCCCGGCAATGCTGCCACAGCCCCACCAATGCTGCCACAGCCCCACCAATGCTGCCACAGCCCCAAGCTTCAGGCTCACAACATCTCAGCCTGCAGGCACGATATGATAAGCAATTAGGATGCTCCCCAAAGGTCCCTGCGTTAAAGGCTCTGTTGCCAGTCTGTGACACAGTTCAAAGGATGTGGACCCTCTAGGAAGTGGGCCATCAGAAGGTCCTGGGGGCTTGATCTTGACAGTCACCCTGAGGTAGGGCATTGGTGTGATGTGCACACTGTCTGATGTCAGAGATCTGCTACAGAGGAAAACCTTGAGAACCAAGAGCCAAGGTAGAGCTTTCAGGCTGAGGATGTGGCTCAGTTGGTAGAGTGCTTCCTGGCACACAAAGGCCCTGAGCCAATCCCCAGAGCCACACTGGATATAGTGGTGCACTCCTGTATCCCAGCACTTGAGAGGTGGAGGCAGGAGGATCAAGAGTTTAAAGAGTTTGTTTGTTTGTTTGCTTGTTTGTTTTGGCTTCCCAATACAGGGTTTCTCTGTGTAGCTCTGGCTGTCCTGGAACTCACTCTGTAGACCAGGCTGGCCTCAGACTCAGAGATCTGCCTGCCTCTGCCTCCTGAGTGCTGGGATTATAAGCGTGTGCCACCACCATCCAACTAAATTCAAGGTTATTTTTAACTACAGATTTTTTTGAGTCCGTCTTGAGCTATATGAAGCCCTGTTCCTCCCCAACCCACCCACCCCAAAAAAGGTCACAGAGATAGAATACTGAAAGCAGCTCAAGACCCAGGCCCATAGTTCAAGTGTGTCCAGGGACATGCTGAATGGTGTGTGAGCTGCAGGCATGGGAAAGCCACCAGTCTGACCGAGAGTCCTGAAGAACCTAACTGAAGGCCGTGTCGGCCTGGGGAGAGTCAGAGGCACCCAGAGAGACAGAGAATCCAGGAGAGACCAAGGGGAAAAGATGAGAGAAGGCAAGAGGACCCACAAAGGTCCATTCTGTGAGACTCTGGCCAAGGTCTTGCCAGAGGTCCCACAGAACCTGGAAGCTGAGGCAGCTCTTCTGATTGTGTGGCTGCAGGCTAGCCTCTGCACAGCTGGCCGAGGTCCTGTTTGCCCATCTGCAGGAGGAGGACATGAGGACTGCCACCTTGGGACAGCTCTGAGTGGTCAGAGAAGCACTCAGCCCCAGCTAATGGCTGCTATTTTTATCCTTCTTCAAAACTCACCTCTCAATTGAGGTGCAGGGTCGACTCTGGCAGGCTACCAGACAACCGCAAAGGCCTTTCTAGACCTTTTCTGCAGCGGCTGGCTCCTGCCTGAGAGATCCTGGTCCCAGTCTGCTGGGTGAGAGAACAGGCCCAGCCCTGTCAGGGGCATCTGGAGAGCCTCAGCTGCTAGACCTCACCCTTCACTCCAGTCAGCCCTCCACACTGAAGCCCCAGGCCCTATAGTCACAGCAGCTGAACTACAGGAAGGGAGGTGTTCTTCTTTGTCTCAGTTTCCCCTCCTGCCTCAGAGGGCCACAGACTGATCCCACTCTCTCCTTCCAGGGAAAGCCCACCCACCAAAATGGTTACTAACCAGGAAAGTGTGGCAGGCAGGGGTAGAAAGGGAGTGGGGAAATATTGGGGGGGCTGGCCCTCCCACAGCACACCCTAGTAGCAGTCTTGAGGACTTTGAGCTGCAGAGCCCACTCTGAGGAGAGGTACAGAAGGGAGTTGGGTAGGAGAGAGGCTGGATTTCAGCAAAGCTGTGACCACATCCCTCTTGGGAACGCCTGCATTTGCAAAAGCGCGTATTGCTCTCCTTTGGTCCCACACTGCCCCAGACCCAGGGATTAGAGGCGACACCTAGTAACCATGATCCCAACCCAGTTCAGAGCTGTGCTCTGAGAAGACCATGCGTGGAAGGATACTGATTTCGAAGACTTAGAACTAAAAACAAATGTAACATATCACACACACGCATGCACGGGCTGGGGTGGGTCTCAATGGTAGCGTGCTTGCCTAATATTGGTGACATCTGGTGATCTAGTTTGCTTCCTATTCCTGGAATAAAATGTTCTGACTTAGAGCAACTTGGAGAGGAAAGGGTTTATTTCACCGTTCGCCTCTGGGCCCCAGCCAGCGTCTAAGGAAGGAAGCCTGAGCAGGAACCAAACACAGGGACTGAACACGGGGACTGAACACGGGGACTGAACACACGGACTGAACACGGAGACTGAACACGGAGACTGAACACGGGGACTGAACACGGGGACTGAACACGGGGACTGAACACACGGACTGAACACGGGGACTGAACACGGGGACTGAACACACGGACTGAACACGGGGACTGAACACACGGACTGAACACGGGGACTGAACACACGGACTGAACACGGGGACTGAACACACGGACTGAACACGGGGACTGAACACGGGGACTGAACACACGGACTGAACACGGGGACTGAACACATGGACTGAACACGGGGACTGAACACACGGACTGAACACGGGGACTGAACACGGGGACTGAACACGGGGACTGAACACGGGGACTGAACACACGGACTGAACACGGGGACTGAACACGGGGACTGAACACACGGACTGAACACGGGGACTGAACACACGGACTGAACACGGGGACTGAACACACGGACTGAACACGGGGACTGAACACACGGACTGAACACGGGGACTGAACACACGGACTGAACACGGGGACTGAACACGGGGACTGAACACACGGACTGAACACGGGGACTGAACACATGGACTGAACACGGGGACTGAACACACGGACTGAACACGGGGACTGAACACGGGGACTGAACACGGGGACTGAACACGGGGACTGAACACATGGACTGAACACACAGACTGAACACGGGGACTGAACACGGGGACTGAACACGGGGACTGAACACACGGACTGAACACGGGGACTGAACACACGGACTGAACACGGGGACTGAACACGGGGATTGAACACAGACTGAACACAGACTGAACACATGAACTGAAGTGGAGACTGGAAGAACACTGCCTTCTGACTGGTACCCAGGCTCCTGCAGCCACTTTTCTCATACAGCACAGGTTCAGTCT